CATTAAATTATCTATGTTTTCGTTTCAATTTTCAAAGTCATTATGGGATGTTAAACGAAATCGAAATATTTCATTCTTAATACCATTTCGAAATGTTCATGGTCTAGTTTTTTACGTTATTAATGGCAGACGAAACGATCAATCGTAGCAAATGTGACGACTTGTCAAAGTAGGCCGTTCAAAATTAGCAATTCAATAATTTCAATAACATGCTAACTTTAAAAATTCTCCAACGATCGTACGATAGTCGAATCTACAAATCGCTTATATAATCTCAAAACTCGTTTCGAGGACTATATTATAGGCATATCGAATAATTCAAACAAGTATCGAAAATAGTTAAAGATGCGTCAAACATACGTCTTAAAAAAGGCGTCTAACTTGCATTTTTTTTAAAAAAAATAATTATTTCATTAACATTTATTATTTTTGTGATACAAATTTCTCAATATAATTTACATTATTTTATTAGGAAATTTAAATGGAATATGTCATTAAAAAAATTTCGAAATTTTACATCCGAAAAAATCATATTCCATGTAAATTTTCAGATGCAAAATTATATGGAGTGTGATTTTTTTGGATGTAAATTTTCGATTGTGAAATTTCTCCCAACTTTTTTGCAAGTTCGATTGTGGCCCCCTAACTTTAATTTTCTGCATCCGCCCCTGACCGTTTGGTATAAATTAAAATCTCAAATCGAAATCTACAATTAATTTTAACCACATATTTTATTGAACTCACAATTTTTCAACTATACATTTCATCAACTTTTATCAAAGATTCAAAATATATTAAAACTATGGTTTTAATCTATACCAAACAGGGGCATAATATCATTTTTCCCCTTTATTTTTATTTATTGGACATATATTTGATTATGATACATAGTCCTTGTTTGGTAGGGTTTGAAATTTAGATTTTAATTTAAGTCAAATTCTGCAATTAATTTTAACAACATATTTCGTGGATTTAATAACGTTTCAATCACACATTTTATCAAATTTTATCAAAATTTACTAAAAATTTAATTTTAATCTCTATCAAACGGAGACGGAGTAATGATCGCGATTAAATAATTATTTTGTTTTCTTTTAACAGCGCCATACAATATATTAAAAAACATCCAAGTATTTCTCAACAGTTTCTTTTGTTGGAAAAAGTATGCTTTGTTACAATTAAAAAAGTTACATTTTGAATATTTAAAGGTCGGAGAAAACTTAAAAGATTTTTAGCAATGTATTTAGCAACTGTATTAAAGATTATAAAATCCACCATTAATATTTTGAAAGAAGCTATGTTTTATGGATGTGATTTTCGATTTTACAATATTTGAGAATGAAAATAACCAAATTATCAAAAAGGTTTGGCATTTTCAACTGGTATCATGGAGCATTCTTTCTTGGATTAAATTAGTTACTTGCACACACGAAGTGTACACCTTGATTGTCACCCCTTATGTGTCAAAAATGAAAAAGGTGTTGTCAAGATCAATGTGTCAAAATCTGCAATCTCACATAAATGTAAACAATTGTGTCAATCTTCATGTACACGTAGCATGATCCTTCTTTCTAAATAGGTTAAATTCCTACATTTGATCTCCATAATGCATTAGTTTCGCATGTCTACTGTGAAGGCAACGGTGTTTGGTGCTATCGCAATGCATTCATCTCATGGCGGTTCTCCTGTTCAAGATTTGTTAATTTTTAGATATGTCTAGTCGATTTAACTATTATTTTGCTAGGCTACTTGTTCGCTGGCCTAGCTTGCTTTTATGAACCATGTAATACTAATTGGATTTGTTTCATTTTAATTCAACTCCAGTTCATTTTATGCTTAGGTTTAAAGGTGGGTGTCAACTTAATTGGGATGTGTCAGGTGTTCTACGTAAGCACTAGAATGACAAATTAATAATATTTGTACCTTGTATGCATTCGAAGAAAAACAAACCTTGATTGTAAAATGAACCTATATAGAGGGAGGAAATGGACCAAGATGGGCGTTGCATTGGGCTGAAGTACAAGAACATGTAGTGTAATTTTAATCGGCTCAATGGCATAGTTGATTGCCGAGTCGGCCAATGCGGAATCTCCTCTATCACATACAATGTAAGTTATAGAATAATAATAGTCTT